ATAGAGGTGCCTACCCTCAAAGTTAACTTATGATTTGGTACTCCGAAAACACGAATCTTGTTAAAGAACCCGGGAGATTCTAATTGACACTCGTTCTAAAATATTAAAAACAACAACTGTTAGATTTATATTTTGTGTCAAATTTTTTCAAATCTATATTGAAATAATATTATAAGAATACCATTGTATAACTTAAGTTTCTCCATTTGCATCACCATAATTGGAGGTTGGGATTCCGCTTCGTTAAGACCATTGATCACCAAATCAATATGATCTGCCCATAATGTACAATTTAACCAAATTTTCCTACACATTAAAAACTAAAAATAAAACATTAATGATTCACAAAGTAAGATTATTAATACATCAAAATCATACTTTATGATTATATCTAACAAAATTTATATATGTAATCTATTCTTAGGAAAAAATTCATGAATATTAGAATATAATTTCTCACATACTTGTGGTCCTATAATATAACTTTCATCATTTTTTATTGTGCCTGTTTTACTATAACGTCCCAAAATATATCCTAAAAATTATATTAAATTATTATTCAATTAATCAAACTTGTTTTGATTAAAAATAACTATTGTTGGGCTTTAGGCCGATATGAAATGTGTTTTGACATCCAATATCACAATCTAGATAAGTCTCATAGAGATAAATCCAATATGTTGACTTATGGTGTGATGTTGATTGGGAACTTGAATACAGACCTAATAAATTAATAATAAATGAAGAATTTGTTTATAATGTGAACTTTGAAAAGAATTATTGAAATAAATCTTGATAATAAATGATATGAATTGGATGAGAGAACCTTTTTGTGTAAAGGTTAATTAAATCAATTTTGACTTTGTCAAAGTCAAACACCCAAAAATATGATGACGGAAAAAGTATTACAAATAAATATAAAAATTATATCGTCGGGTAGAGTTTAACTGTTCGATCGCAACGGTGCAAACAGAATTCAATTCGGTGAAAGTTGGACCAAAAAGTGTACCCCGACTGGGACCAAAATTAGTCCCAATCAGGAAACGACGTATAATATCACACTATCGCCGAACAATCATGCAATTATATCACGCAATCTCTCATTTCTTCACCAATCTTCTCAGAATTAGTATCATTGTGTTCTTGGTGGAGTGGAGAGTTCATTGGTGTTGCAAATTTGGTGTGAAGTCACCAGAGTTTAGAAAAATCATTGCCGGAAGTTTCGCCAGAAAATTTGCAAAACCTTCGTTAAGCTACGAGGTAAGCCCGTTGGTATATTCTAGTGACTAGAATGTTCGTATAGATCATTTCTACATTCATAAATGGTCGTTTGGTTGAGGTTTGTGTTTGACATGTTTGAAGAATCAAGAATCATAAACCAAGAAATTGTTGTTAAAACTATGAATTAATGATACCAAAATGATCTATAAACCTTGGAGAACATTTCTATATAGTTTAATTGAAGTTTGGTAACTAAAAATGGTATTTTCGAAATTGGATCTGAAGAGAAGAAGATGATGAACAGTGATCAAAAAATCAGAGGGTGGATCGATCCACCCTCCTAGATCGATCATTTGGAGGACTTTTTCTACGGAGAATCGATCCAAGGTGTTGAATGCTCCAAAAATGTTTCTGAAAATGTTATTTTTGAGCTCTAAAAACCTATTTTTGATACCTATTGATTATGATCATTATAAAAATGATTTTTCACAATAAAAATGATGTTTTGACAAATAAAATCTTATATCATGTATGACGGTAAGTTAGGGTGTTAACATTCGAAACGAGACCGCTCTTTGCTATTGGATGTTATGTTGATTGATGATTTTGATGAATGATTATCATGGATGACTATGAATGATGAACTTACTGATTAAAATGGTTATTGATGATTGAACTATGATTAAAATGAATACATAGATGATTATAAAATGATTTGTATTGTTAAGGATATCTAGAAGAACTCTAAGATATACCCATTTGGAAATTGATAATGATTATTAAAGGATATGTAGAAGAACTCTAAGATATACCTCATTGACTAATTCATAATTCGGGGTTAAAAAGTATGTACAAGACCTGGACCGGATATCACCCGCCCGACAGTTCATAGTTCGGTTGGTACGTAATCCACATGACTCATAGGGTGGATAATCGATTCTTGTGTTTTACCTTAAACTATTTATAGTTTAAGAGCCTGGTTAGAAATATTGTCTTAGACTAGGAATAGCTAAGAGCTTGTTATAAAATGATTTGGCCTTAGATTAAGAATAAATTAAGAGCACTATTGAGATATTGAATGCTGTATATATCATGAAATGACTTGGAATAAAATAATGAGAATATCATGAATGCTTGAATCATATATTCTGTGCATGATACCAAATGGTTGATTATGAATTGAGATCCAATTTATATGGATGTTCGATGCTTTAGATATGATTACTCAGTTTCACCACTGAGCGTGTAGTGTGTTTTATTTGCTACACGCAGGTAGGTAGAATGAATGAAAGACATATTCCTGGCATCGGATGGGACGAGACAGTTGTGGTGGATTATTGAATAAAATAAATAATTGTGTTGTTATGAGACATGGTTCAAATTTGCTTTCGTATTATTAAACACTCCGTATTTTAACGGTTATGTATTGAATACTATTTATGACAAATAAAGATGTTTGAAATGTTCTAAATTTTACGATTACCAATTTATACTTTAGTCCGAAAGGGGCTACAGACCTGGACGGATGAAGGTGTTACATTTACCATACGGGGTTTGGGTGAGCTTCGACTAACAACTTTCCCAATTACATCTGCAAGTACCAAAATGTAAGACAGAGGTATTAAATATACATTATAAATATCTGTAAGTAATCTAATTATAATAATCTAAATGATGTTTACAAATTAAATCACACTGTCACCAAAAGTCATTTTCTGAATTTCTTCAAATCCCATAAAGTTGTAACGAAAATTTGGAAATCCATTTTCCGATATCCTTTGAAGCTTCGTCCTGCTAAAGAATTGCAGCATGAAATGGTGATTGATAGTTTTGTTGTTCGGTAATTACGTAGTACTTTGAATCTCATCAGTAAATAAACACTATCTTCTTTCAAATCTTCTTTGAAAGTGCGTATATTCGAATCTCTGATCTGCGTATGTATTCGATCTCCCTAACAATGCAAAGGAAAAAAGTATATATTACAATCATTAGAACATTCTTAATGTATATGTATTTTAAATTCATATTAATGAAAGAACTAACCTCTGAATCATGAAAAAATACATTCAATTATTCAGCCCTCCTTGCATAAGCAGGAACATGATAAACTCTTATCGCTCTCAATTTTAGCATCAGAAATCGATGGCCTCTCATTAATAAGGGTGGGTATAGGTCGGGACGATTGGTGTTTTATAAGGGGAGGCAACTCACTTTGGCTTGCAAAGAAAAAAATGATATATTTATTTAAAATATTTTTAAAAAGTAAAAACAATAAGGAGATATAAAAAATGTTACAATACACATCAAGAATAAAGACTATAAATTTCATAAAATCTATGAGCTACAAATTGGGGTGGGTCCGGTTAGAGGTATGAATTTTTAAGTGTTCCAGTCCTAGTCAATTTTTTTTAAAACATTTGAATTTAGATATTTTTTATATCTATATTGAGAAAAATAAATATTATGATACTTTTTTGTGTTATATTATTATATAAATAAATAAATAGATATATACATATATACGAGACAACGGGGCGGAACGAGAAAATATTGATGTGTATCGATCCTATCCCATTTTAAAACGATTAAAAACAGGTTCGAGACACAATTTTATCATTTTTAACAAAAGAGACTTTATAGAGATGAGATCGAAATATTTTAGACTAAGACAACAGTTTCGAGAATCTTGTCAACCTCCTAGATCCCAAACTTTTTTATCAATCTCAAGCATAGTTTTTAAACTAGACCGAACCAATCGGTTCGGACTGTGAACCGGCAAACCTTTGGTCCAATCGGGCCGGTCCATTTTTGTTTTCTTTTTTTTTGTGATTTTTTTCAAAACATCCCCCCATGGGGTTTTGAACTCATGATCTCGTAGACATTTGGTTGAGTTCCTAACCATCCAAGCAAGAATGCTTTTTGTTACAAGTTCACTTAATCTTTTATAATATTTCATAATTAAAAAAAGATTGTATAAAAATTCCTTTTCAATTTTAAAAATATAATATTATATAGCTATGAGTCAAATACAAAATCATTGATATTATTGATATTATTACAAAATGCATATCATGCAAAGATTTCATTTGAGTGCTTTTTAATATTAAACAACTTATTTGAAAAAAAATAAAATCAACTTTGCATTTATCAAATTTTTAATATTATTTTTTAATATGTAAATTTTATTTTTAACTTAGCAAAATAACTCATGTATATTAATATAATTTTAGTCAAATGTAAATTACTTTCGTTAGATATTTATAAATGAGAATGTGTGCGAGTGTGTCTATATGTATGTGTGTCTATAATTATTTATATATACAAAATATTTATTTATATATACTTTCGAAAGGTATTTATATATATTTATTTATATAATTTTTAAATATGTTTAAACTATCGATTCAATCAGTTGAACCACTGGTTCGACCAATGAACCGGTAAACAGTACTTTGATCAGTTCGGTCATCGGTCCGGTTCTAAAAACTATATAAAGACTATCAAAAGCAAAAAAACCTTCCGACATTTAATACAAATTTCAACTTCATTTCGCGTGAATTTCCACACGCATTTCAATTTCCATTTCCATTTCATCTCTCTCTGTCTGTCGCTTTCTTTCACTGCAAAGTCCTTTCTCTTTCTCTCACTACTCTATCTTCTCTCTCCGCCTATACATATATCGACGCTCCTATATGCGTATAATTTGTTTTTTTTTTGTTTTTTTATTTTAATTTTGATTCTGTTTGATTTCTTCTCATTCTCCCTGGAATGATCTGTATCGGCACCGGAGCTCCGATTGGATTTGCTCGGTTTAGGCACTCTAACTTTGCATACTTATCGGCTTATCACCGATGAATGAGAGCGCTGCACGCGCGACGCTTCCGTACATGCTGCCGGGGATCTGTGAACTGTTTGCTTTTAGCAATCGGTAAGTTTTGTTCTGGATAGCTTTCTCCATCCTTCGTTGATCTGAATCCGGTTCAGCCGTGTGCTTGGTTGCGGAGTTGACTTTTCTTCTTACAACTCTCTTCTTTGTGTTTTTTTACTCTGTGTGAATTTTCGGACAACTCTCTAGTTTGTGTGTTTTTATTTGACTTGTGTGTATTTGTTGGATGAATATTTTATTGTTAACTTGATTTGATTTGATTTTACCTTTTGATTCCCGAATTTAGCTGACTTTCAAGTGATGTATACTACTGCTACAGTGGTGTTGTTTTGGTTCTTGTTCAGGCGGTGTTCTATATTTTGAAGATGCGGTTTTTTGAAAATATGAAAAGGGATTCCGCTTTTGGTGATGCTTGTTTCATGAATATGATGCTATTCTTGCTGTTGTCTTTATCTTTTGAAGGATTTATTCTTATGTTCAGTTGATATATCAGTATAAATTTGCTTGTTGAGTGTCGTACAGAACTAAGGGAACTTGTTCAAAAGGTCAGAGTAAGGGGATATTAGTTGCGCGGTATGATATTGATGTGTTATTTGTTGAATACTCCTGTATTGATGAGTTTTTAATGAGGATCTGTTCAGCTTTAGATCGACTTTCTATGCCCAGTAATTGAGTTTGCATTGCTTGGTAGATCCAAGTTCTATTGTTTCTTGGTTGAGGAACTTAATGATCTGCTTGTAAGAGCTGTTCTGAATTTCTTTCCTCTACCCTTTTCTGTAAAGATATTAACTTGTCTAAGTAATTTGCAAGTCACAAGCTGCACTATCCTTTAGACATATGATTATTGGATTGCTCTAATCTATATTTATGCATTAGAAAGCCTTTCTCATCTATTTAATTTTTTGCAGGTGATTGAAGCGCGCCATTCAATTTCTAGATCATCTATCCGCCAATAATATAAGTTAATTAATAGCTCCAAGTCTATTATGAAGGACATGAGCCAGCTAACTGTTGTGACTGATGATTGTTTTTCAAGCTTTCTTGAACATGCTGCTAATAACAATGTAGAGGCTTTTGAAAGATCCATTGAGCATGAACCTTCTGCAGTTGATGAGGTGGGACTGTGGTTGGTTCGCAAGAAAGGCTCAAAACAGATTGTCAATGAGGAAAGGACACCCCTGATGGTTGCCGCTGCATATGGAAGCGTTGATGTCTTAAAATTGATCATTTCTCATCCCGAAGTTGATGTCAATCGAACTTGCGGCCCAGATAAATGCACTGCTCTTCATTGTGCTGCTTCTGGGGGTTCTGTTAATGCCATTGAAGTGGTTAAGATGCTGCTCTCAGCTGGGGCTGATCCTAGCATTGAGGACGTCAATGGTCAGAGACCTGTTGATGTAGTTGTAGTTCCACCAAAGCCTCCTGGTGCTAGAGCATCTCTTGAAGAATTGCTAACAAAGAGTTTGTCTGACGGTGTTGTTGGTGAATGTCATTTGCAAGTGTCTCTAAGTACTATAAGTACTTCCCCGCCAGAAATTGGGTCGCCCCATTCACTTCCGGACTTGGTGTCTTCTCCCATGGCATCGGAGTTCACCGACGCTCCTCCAAGTTCTGCACCAGAAAAGAAAGAGTATCTGATTGATCCTTCTCTCCCAAACATTAAAAACAGCATGTATTCAACTGATGAGTTTCGTATGTTCTCATTCAAGGTGAGGCCTTGCTCTAGAGCATATTCTCATGATTGGACGGAGTGCCCATTTGTCCATCCGGGAGAGAATGCACGCCGGAGAGATCCTAGGAAGTACCACTATAGCTGCGTGCCATGTCCTGATTTTCGCAAGGGTTCCTGCAGACGAGGTGATATGTGTGAGTATGCTCACGGCGTGTTCGAATGCTGGCTTCATCCTGCCCAGTACCGGACACGCCTATGTAAGGACGGAGCCGGGTGTGCAAGGCGAGTTTGCTTTTTCGCCCACGCTCCCGCGGAGCTTAGACCGTTGTATGTTTCTACGGGATCTGCAGTTCCTTCTCCAAGATCAGCTGCAGCTGCAGCCGCTGCAACTGCAAGTGTCATGGACATGGCTGCTGCTTTGAGTCTCCTGCCCGGTTCACCCTCATCACACGCTGTTATGTCTCCTGCATTCAACCAACCCATGTCTCCCACTGCTAATGGAGCGGCTTATTCAACCGCCGGCTGGCCTCAACCGAATGTTCCCACTCTGCATCTCCCTGGAAGCAACCTCCAGTCAAGTCGCCTGAGGCTGTCACTCCATGCACGAGATGTTCCTCCTGAGGATTACAACATGCTGCAGGATCTTGATGCCCAACAACTACTGCTAAACGACATGGCTTATTTTTCCCAGTCACGTCCTAATTCTACTACCTTGAGCCGTTCCGGTTGCTCTAAAATACTAACCCCATCAAATCTCGAAGATCTATTTTCTGCCGAGATCACATCCTCTCCCCGATATTCAGATCAGGCAGCGGCTTCTGGCATTTTCTCTCCGTCACATAAATCAGCCGTGTTCAACCAGTTCACACAGCAGCAGAACATGCTCTCCCCAACAACCAATGGGAACGTGTTCTCTCCCAAAAAGGCCGAGCATCCTCTTTTGCAGGCTTCATTTGCTTCTTCTTCACCTGGTGTAATGTCGCCAAGAGCTGTGGAACCCCTATCATCCCCAAGGAGTGCCCAACTCTCTGCATTTGCCCAGCGTGAAAAGCAGCACCAACAGCTACGCAGCCTGAGTTCCCGGGATCTTGGCTCCAGAAATTGCTCAATGATCGGATCCCCTTCGCGTAATTCTTGGTCAAACTGGGGATCTCCCAACACAAATGTTGACTGGTCAATGAATGGGGAAGGGCACGGCCGCCTGCGAAGATCATCTTCATTCGAAAAACTGAACACCAACGGAGACGAGCCTGACCTGTCTTGGGTACAATCTCTTGTAAAGGAATCGCCACCTGAGATGAAAGACAAGTTTGCAGCCCGAACTTCGGGGACAAGTTTGCCATCCGGTGAGGGTTTGACAAAATCCAATTCTCAAACCGATTCCATCGATCATTCTGTCTTGGGAGCTTGGCTCGAGCAGATGCAACTCGATCAGCTTGTAGCCTAGCCACACAAGATGATTCTTTGTTTCCTTCTTTTCCCTTTTTGTTTCTCTAGACACAATTTTCATGGTTTTATACAGTTATTATTTTGGGCATTATTTTTTTGCTGGTGGAGAAGGGATGCATGTGGAAAAGCCAGACTCGACGAAGCCAAGGGCTGAAGACAACTGAGATTATTATTATTAATATTATTATTATTATTGATTTTTTGGCACATATTTGTTTACAGCAGGTAAAAACTTCTCAAATTGTTTGGCTGGGCTGTAACAAAGAAACCTTGTCAAATAAGGGTAAGGTGTAACTCCGTAATTATAGTGAAGTGTCCACTCTATAGTTAATTAAACTAGAGGCTTCTAATGTATCCTGATGCCTTATTTTCCTGGACAGTATTGCCCCCCCTGATAATGTAATTCAATGGATGAAGATTGAATAAAGGCTCTTGTTTCTTGTTATGGGGCTTTTGACTTCTTCTAGGTGTGGTGCAAGGAGCATTATAGATTTAATAGTTTGATTGATTTTTTTGTGCAAATTTTTATAGATTTACTCCCCTCTATTCGAATTTAACTTGTTTGTTTAATTTTGAACTACATTCTTTACTCAATTTTGTTACTCATTTGTAAAAATAATACGGAATATAATCTTGTCACTTCTCATGTTGCATAATAATTACACATTTGGAGGGGGTAAAAGGGGGTCTAGAGTGGGGGTGCGGGTGGGACTGGAGTGGGGTGCAATGGGGGTTTAGGGGTGGGTTAGGTGGTAGGAATCATCAATTTTTCATTTGGAGTACCGGAGGTGCTCGAAATAGGAAAGTGTCATCCGTTAACACTAGATGACAGTGTCAATGGAACTTTGCCATTTTTTAAATGGAGTAATTTTTAGTACTGCAAGTTCTATTACGTTATACTTGGTAGTATCTTTTCATACATAATACGTACTCCTTTCGTTTCAATTTAAATTGGTTGTATATTATTCACATAGTTAAACTTTAATTTTTTTTCCCATCTATTTTTGTGATTGTTTTAGAATATAATCTTATTTTATAAAATGAATAACGAAAATAAAGAAAAAATAAATAAAGTTTAATCATGTGAATAGTAAATAACTAACTTAATTCGATTGCAACTATTTGTCTTATCGATCTTTTTTTAGTAATTGTCAATTAAAATCTTCAACTCACTCTATCTTATGCCACATATGGAGTTCTCTCAAATGGGTAAGAAAACCATTCTTAAAAATATTCGTTAATGAGGAGTGATCTATGAAGGTAAATCTCATGGGATTGGATTAGGGGTGGGCATGAAATCCGTTCCCGTTGGACCGCTCCGAAAAATCCCGAATCCGTTTTGTAATTGTACCGAATAATTGGGACACCATTTTTATCCCGAACCCGTTCCGTCCCATTATCAAATGGGACATGAGCGGGACAACTTAAATTTATACCGATCCGTCCCGTTTGTTCCGTTTTATCTATTCTATTAATATATAAATCTAATTCTATACACTCATTCTTTAATTAATTAAGTTAACTTCAAGTTTCAACCCAAAAATTATTAAATTTATTTGGTCTTAACTCCAAAGTCCAGACTCTGGATCCCAATTCCTTCCCATTATTAAGCTAATTCACTTTTAAAGTTTTAATACACAATTCTGTAAAAATCCAGTGGACAGTGGCTAATTGCTTGGTGTACACAACTAGTTTTTGGATGTCTTTGGGAGTTAATGACTTTTATTTATGACGTTTTGTGACTTTTGGATTGAGTACCCACCTTCTTATGTTCGGGATTAGGACAAAGTGGGACGACTCGAATCTGTCCCGGTTTGTTCCGATCCTGAATTCTATGGGACAAACCGGGATAAGATTGTAATCCGAACCGTTCCGAACCGTTTATATATAACAGGACAAGACGTGGAACAACCTAAATCCGGACCGTCCCGATCCGTGCCCACCCCTAGATTGGATTCTCTTTCCAAATAAATCTCCAATCTAAGTGCACATGCCATTGTTAGTTGTTCTTTGAATGGTGGCTTGAATTGTGAGGCCTTTTAATAAATAAAAAAAGATGAGCCTCATTCCCGAGGGTTTTCTCAGACTTGACCGGACATAAATTAGACTTTGATCATAGATTGGTGACAAAAAGCATAATTGCTTTCAAGTGCAGTTACCAAAATTCAAACTCGAGTCTTATCCTCTTGGAACTTCTTACTTTTTCCAAGTGTGCAGTGATATGGGCAAGGATCTTTTAATGCACATTGTGATTGGGAGGAGTCTCTTTGTGAGACCTACCGCAGTGCACTGTGGGTGGGGCGCAACTTCATTTAATTGACAATAATGGTTTTAGAATAAGTGCAATGTATTTCCTGCGCTGAGCCTTATCAATTCCCCAAAACTGGAAATGTGGTTCTCCTTTTTCCTCCTCTTGAACACCGGGCTGTTTTTGCACTGTCTGTGAAAGTTCAACCCGTTTTAACACTTTCACTGTTTGCCTTAGCCCTTTTTCACGAAGGAAATTAGATTTCCTACCTGTGCGTTGTACCTAAAGAAAATTCAATTTAAATTAATATGCAATACTTCAAGAATTAAAGAATATTTTATGGAAGAGGGCTAATTCTAAACTATTGCAGATTGTTATACAAGACAAAAATATTTACCCACAAATAGTACTCCATGATAATGTGTTCTGAATTTCAAAAAATTATTTATAAATAACATTAGAGCATCTTTAATCTAAAGTTCTTATTAAGTTGTTTTACCTATAAAAGATGTGAAGCTTATGTGAAATACATATAGAGCACCATTACTTCATTTTTCAAAGAAGTAGCTTAAGGAAGCAACCATATCTTAGCTACGAAGTCTCCCAAGGAGCCCCCACTAAAGAAATTCTTAGTAGTGTGTAATTCGATGATTTATATTCTTCAAGGAAAAATTACTTCAAATAATTTCACCTTTTTCACGTTCTTTCAAAAATAATTTCACTTTTCACTTTCACTGGATATAATCCCACATTTTCGCATGTGTGCGAGTTTTGGGTCGCCGTTAAAAAACTAACGGCCACTTAACGGAAGTTTTAGAAAATGCCTTTTTTCGCAAATAAATGAAAGGTGAGATTATTTTAGAAAAATTTACTTTTTACTTATTAAATTTTAAATTTAAAATTAATATTTTTTAAAAATATAACAATACACTCTTGTTAGAGATTTGTCTAACGATTAACAAATTTTTTTTTCTGTTTTGGGAAAAATATAATATTGAATTATCAAAAATGATTCAGAGTATCGATCAAGAAAGAAATTACAATACAAAAAAAATTGTAGTGATTTATAAAATTTATGGGTGCCATTTCGTAGAAAAAAATATTGTGTCATTTTCACAACTTTTGAATTACTATTTAGGGGAAAAATTTGTATTGAATTATTAAAAAAATCACAAATTGGGTACTTTTATTTTAGAAAGAAAATTTTATTGGCAATATAAGATTATCAATAAATATTTCGGAGTGTTCATGAAAAATTGCAATACATCAGAAAATATAGTGAATTATAAAAAATAAAAGTTCTATTTTAGAGAAAAAAATTATTGTGTTATTTTCACAACTATTGTAATGTTGTTTCACAAAAAATATTTATATAGAAGTATCGAAAAATATTCATAAGTTTTGTAGTGCCATTTTTTTAAGAAATAATAATAAAATAGTATCAAAAAAATAATTTGAAGTGCAGCTCAAGAAAAATACAGTACATGCAACTTACAAAAAAACGTAATTAGTTATGAAGTTAATAAATTAGCTCTATTGTGTAGATAAATTATTACCAGATTATTGGTTATTAAAAAAACAATTGCTTTCACTCTAAAAACACTTAAATTTGGTATTTTTTTCCAAAAAAATAAAATAAAAATACATTTAAATTTAAAGTTAGAAATTAAAAATCGAAAAAGGGAGAGTTTACCTAAAATAATCCAACCTTTCATTTATTTGCAAAAAACGGGCATTTTTCAAAATTTCCGTTAAGTGACCATTAGTTTTTTAACGGCAACCCAAAACTCGCACACATGCGGAAAGGTGAGATTATTTCTGCTGAGAGTGAAAATTGGTAGTATTATTTTTGAAAGAGCACGAAAAAGTGAGATTATTTGAAATAATTTTTCCTCTCTTCATCACAAATCAAAATTTTCATTTGATTCTTATTGTCACATGTAAAACAACAACATATAGTTGACCATGAAAAAAATGGATTTCTCAAGTAGTAGGTGTGCGCATTGTTATTTGACTTTTTGTGGTCAAATTTTGTATACATTAATCTTGATATATAAAAAAAGCATCGTGTTTCGTTAGAAATATATTACCAGTAATTTATTTTTGAAACTAAGGAATCCCTTCATGTTTGATAGTTCATATTTTGAGAATAAAAAACATGGAACTTCTATTTTAGTACTTTCTCTATGTTTTACTTTTATTTTTGTATTTTTTCCAAAAAATATAACATCTTTTTACATATAAGGCATATACCCCGTGTACAAATTAAATTGGATCTATCCATACTTTGATTAAAATTACCACATCATTCAAGTCATTAATAGGTGGCAGATGATTTTTTAAAATGTTGCTATGTAGACCCATCACTTGTCACAATTTATATGAGTTTAACTCTCAAATTTATAATATAAAGAATTTGAGAATAAAAAATATGGAACTTTTTTTAATACTTTCTCTATGTTATACTTCTATACAAATTAAATTGGATGTATCCATATTTTGATTAAAATTACCACATCATTCAAGTTATTAATAGGTGACTGATGATTTTTCAAAATGTTGCCATGTGGACCCGTCACTTCTCACAATTCTAAGAGTTTAACTCTCATATTTATAATATAAAGAATTTGAGAATAAAAAATATGGAACTTTTATTTTAATTTTTTCTCTATGTTATACTTCTATTTTGATATTTTTTCCAAAAAATTATAAGTCACTTCATACATAAGGCATCGTATACACATTAAATTGGATCTATATATATTTTGATTAAAATTGCCACATCATTCAAGTCATTAATAGATGGCGGATGATTTTTTAAAATGTTGCCATGTAGACACGCCACTTGTCACAATTCTATGACTTTATTTCTCAAATTTATAATATAAAGATAAAGATTCCATAATACTGCATCCGTTTGGATTTAATCTTCTTATTTGACTTTTTTGTCAAATTTTTTATACTTTAACCTCGATATATAAAAAAAACATTGTGTTTCGTTAGAAATGTATTACCAATAATTTATTTTTGAAACTAAGGAATCTCTTCATATTTATTTTTGAAGGCAAATCTCTTCATATTTGATAGTTCTTATTTTGAGAATAAAAAATATAGAACTTCTATTTTAGCACTTTCTCTATATTTTACTACTAGTTTTGTATTTTTTCCAAAAAGTTATAACGTCACTTCATATATAAGGCATATACCCCTTATACAAATTAAATTAGATCTACCCATATTTTGATTAAAATTGCCACAACATTCAAGTCATTAATAGGTGGCGGATGTGTTTTTTAAATGTTGCCATGTAGACCTGTCACTTGTCGCAATTCTCTGAGTTTAACTCTCAAATGTATAATACTCCCTCTGTCTACCATAGATATTCCCAGACACTATTCACAGGGTCAAACTTTACTCACTTTGTTTGCTCATTTTTAGTAGTCATATCATAAAATAATATAGTCTTGTCACCTCTAGTTTTGTAGAACTTTTCATGTAGTTTATTACTATATAAATTTTATTTTAAAATTTTACTCCTATAATCAATTAAATTGAATTGAAAATAAAGTCGGTCAAGTCTCGTAACGCGTAATGAGAAGATTTTACATGGACGGAGGGAGTATAAAGATACAGATTTTGGTATTTTTTCCAAAAAATTATAATGCCACTTCATATATAAGGCGTTACTTCATATATAAGGCATATACCCCGTATACAAATTAAATTGGATCTACCCATATTTTGATTAAAATTACCACAACATTCAAGTCATTAATAGGTAGCGAATGAGTTTTTTTAAATGTTGCCATGTAGACCCGACACTTGTCACAATTCAATGAGTTTAACTCTCTAATTTACAACATAAAGATACAGATATATAATACGGAGTATATAATATATAATGTATAGAGTATGTATAATATACTCCGTAATATTTAAGTCCCTTATGGCCTTATACTAAAAAATATTTTTTCGATATTCTTTATTTTAAATAAAAATAATTTTTAATTTTTTTATATTAATCTTAAATTATAGAATTTACATTTTTCGTGCAACGCACGAGCAAAATACTAATTATATCAAACAAAGAATTTAGAATTGAACTAGAATTTGATTACATCTAATTCAATTTCCTCGAATTCCAATTTTAATTCCATGTACCAAAGTGAGTCTAATTTTTCTTCATGAACATAATTTTTAAGTAATTAGCTCTACGGCTGTTCATATTTAGGTCCGGACAAAAAAATCAACCGAACTGGATCGTTAGATATTCGATCTAGAAAAATTAGGTGTTCGAATTTTGGCATGGTCCAGTCTAAATCCGAAATGATTTAGATTTGGACCGATTATACCGAATAACCTTATTTGACCTAAAAGACCTAAGTATTAAAACTCTACCTTTTAAGTTCCATATTACACTTTGATGCTCTATTTTAATAGATATCTTAATTTATTTAATCAAAAAAATATTTTTATTAAGTAATTTTAAAAAATTAAAAAATGTTTCATATTAGTTTTTATGATTCTACATTTCTACATAGAAGTAGGTTGCTTATTTTGTTATTTTTTTTCTATTTGAATGGTACAAAGTAAAAAGCTTAAAATTGATCAAAAAAATTAAAAAATATGTGTCTTTATTCGGTCTGATCTTGTTCGATCCAGACTCGAATAAATTTAGGTCCGATCTTTGGTCCTGTCTGGACAGATCCGGTTCGGTCCTGTCTTGGGCTCACCATGTGAGATCGGGCAGTCTCCTTCTCCGCCTGTCTGGTTATCTGGACCGGCTTTGAAGAGCGTAGTCGGCCATAGTTACGTCGATAGCTTTGAAGAGCTTAGTCGGCCGGCTACGATTTCAGGTGACGACGGAACATCCAATTCCTCTATTTGTCATATTCCGCAACCCGAGATTACCTAGTTTCATTTTACTCCATATTTTGGAGAACTGGATACTACAATAGCTTTTTATTACATATTTCAGAGCTCTGCAGCTTGTTTAAGACCATAAAGACTAGTTGAGTATATGTTCCCTGATTTCTTGGCAACCAAGTATTTGTCCATATAAATCTCTTCATTTAATTCAACATTGCAGAATTTAAATATCTAAACCGTATATGTTTAGAACCACCCATTTTATGTGCATTTTTGTGAAAGAAAATTTCCCCCAAACTTTTGAATTCGAATATCAAGGAGCAAACAATGCTTGAATCATGAAAGTAAATTAAACCGATTGATTTATAGGTGAGTATGAATGGAAATTTCCCCAAGAATTTGTGTGATTTTACCATTACTCCTATAATATCGTGCTATTTGAACTCCCTCTGTGTGGCATTATATAGGGTGTAGTGAGAACCTTTGTGGTTGAGTGTTCTTGTGTGGGATTATGCTAGTAGTTGTGTGAGTGAGCACTCATGTTTTTCTTTTACACTATGTTTGGTTCTAGGAATTTGGAAGGAAAAAGAAAAGAAAATGATATGAAAAACAGTTTTTCTTGTTTGGTTGGAGAGGAAAAGAAAAGAAAAGTGGAAGGAAAAGAAAATGAGAAGATAATGTACAAAGAGAAAGGAAAATCAAATCTCTCCCATTTTGGTGAGGAAAATGAGAGAAAATCAGTTTCTTTTCTTTTCCTTCCGAATCCCTTAAACCAAACATAGTGTTAGTGTTCTCGTCTCCCTTTTTGTGACTAGTCCTGTGTAGAGTGTGCGAGGTAGGTGTGGGGTTTATTCTGTGGTTGGCTCTTGTAACCTGTAGTACGATGACCCTCAGTGCTCGGACTGGAAAGAAATGAGGGGAAGATCCTCTGTTAGTCGCTAGAAGTGTATATCTTTTGTAGTAATGGTTCTCTTAGTGTTTGCATGAGGACCCTCTCATCCACTTATTCACCCCTTTTATAAGAGCTATCGTCTCTCTTTAAACTCGGGCTAACCATAGAATATACAGTGATTAGCTACTTAGCTCACCTTGGTTTAACCATGGAATATATGGCGGTTAACTCAATTTTTTCGAGGACATCTTTTTTCTCTTGTCTTTGTCCCTATAGATCCGGCATGGAGGGCTTGGGGAATATTTCTTTGTTACTGTCCTCCTTGTTCAGACTTTGGTGGAGGTCTTCGACCAGACCACTAGGGTCCCCTTACGTTCAATTATCCTTGGATTTGCCTTTTACTCTTTGTGCTGTGAGGACTTCTTGACCCATGGCCTTGATGGGTCATGAACCCATTAGGCATGGTATTCATGAAATTTTAATATCTCTATACAGTTTGGGTTGACCTAATAAAAAAGTATAGGTTTTGTAGGGATAGAATTAATATATTATGCAAAAATATATGAAAAAGAAAACATGAATATTATTTTTAAAGAGACTGAAAAAAAAAGTAAATTGAGTAAATAGAAATGGATGGATTATACTCCATATCATTTAGCCAAACCCCAACAATTGCTACAGCAAATATATGTATGTAATGTAAACATAACAATTCGATAGTCATGAAGGATAAATATCTTTATTTTCAGAAAATACATAGGAGTGGTATTAAATGTAGATTGCGTAAAAGCAAAGGAAATCGTCAAGTGCTGGATGGTAATTTGAGAGTTGTAATCCTGAGAAAACTCCAAGGTCCTATTCCTGTTCCCATTCTCCATAAACCAGCTATTGTCCTGAGAACCATGAATATGCTTAAAGCTATCCATATTCCTATGTACCCATTGCTTTTCGAGAGTAGAAACTCTGAGCTGATTGTCAGTGCTGCAACCAAAACCTGCATCAAGAAGTTGATTCACTTAATGTTAGGCTAGTTAGTCTTCTTGTTTATATAGGGTGTGTATTGTTTGCGTGTGTCTTGTATGTAAGCTGACCATTGAATATGCAGAGTATAAAAAGTCTGATGCCCCAAAGTTGATGCCATCAAGAACAAAAGCCATTGAATTTATAGGCTGTGTGCCTGCAACAAACTGATTCAAGAAAAAAAGGTTTATAATAGTAGGTGTTAGAGTCCTGCGTAGTAATATTCAAGAGAATGATAGGTTAATAATAACGCTTGAACAAGCTAAGCAATTAAACGCGATGCTTAATTTGATTACAAGGGTAACATAGAGAAACACTAAAGCAAATAAGCAATGCCATAGTTTACCGGAATAGCTATGGTTATTAGGCGAATAACATTTTTGTCATTAGAAAATACACCGGATCCGAAATATAAGCCGAGTCCGACCACTAGAGCAAGCCCTTGGCCCATCACAAATCCCATCTGCATGAGAAAAATCTGTTTTAGGACTTGTGGTGTGTTATTATTATGCAACAACCATCATAAGTTCATCTTATATACCTACCTGCAAAACTCGGGCTGCAGCAGCCTTTGCCTTATTGTAGTCTTTTTCAGCAAATGCGGATGCAAGAATTGCCTAGAACAAAAGAGGGATTTCAATGTTATTGCTTGTGTTAGGTTTCCGTGAGTTTGATTTGTTGTGAGAAACAAAATTGCTCATTACTACCTGTCCAGCAACAGCAAGGCCATCGGCTAGCAACGATGATGTCATCCAAACCTGTAAGCATATCTGAAATGCAGCCATAGTTGTTGTACCCAGTCTTGCAGCCAATGAAGCACCCACGGTAACACAAAATGTCACAGCTATCACTCTTGCAAGTAACCAGAATCCTGAAGTTTTATCCATGTAAATATTAGATTTGGGGTTCCATGATTCCATCTTAAAAGGTCAATCCAACACGAGTAGTCTAAACTCGTATATATTGGTTAATATTAGGCCGTATGAGATGTTTGAATAGTAAATGCATTGGGATTTTTTAAAACCGGTGAATTCAAAGAAATGCTACAATGGCGGTTGTAGAGGAACAAGACTAACCATTCTTGAGAAATCTACTGAACTGCAATGCTTTGAAGCTTGGTGGTATCAATTCAACTTCTCTTACCAATTTGCAGAAGAGGATTGCACACAATAAGTATCTGATGAAGAAGGAAAGGGTTAGAATCATTATCATTATAAGTTTTTTTTAGATGAAATGTTCAACATAATGTTTTGTAGTCTGTGATGTTATAAAGGCTTACTGAGAAATAACATGAGCTATGGCTGCACCACTGACACCCCAGTGACAGGCAAATATAAAGATTGGATCCAAAATTATGTTAGCTAAATCTCCAATAGCTGTTGGGTCAGAAAAAATGATGGTTCATTAGTATAAAAGCATCCATCATATTCATTGAGATAAAGCAGCCACACAGCACTTATTGATTTGCTACTTCTTACCAGTGGCATATAAAGGGGTTCTGGTGTCCTTTAGACCGCGAAAGATTCCCTGCATTGCCAAAGAGAGAAGTACTGCAGGGGCACCGAGTGCTCTCAATGTCATGTACTTCAGTGCAGGACCAAACATGGGAGATCCCTGTGGACATGGAAAATAAAGAATCATAAAACTTGAATATTAGTATCAAGAAGTTCGGTAAATTCTTAGGTGACCTAAGATCCACCAAAGAATTCATAGACCTTCTTACTAGCTACACAAGTATTTTCATAATGTTGTAATATACATTTATTTTATTTATTTATTTTATTAATTAATAAGGTTATGTGAGAAGGTCCATGCATTGTTATATGGACCTTAGTTCCATACTAGAAGCACTCTATATTAAAGGTAGCCTGATATGAAGAGTACATCAATTTTTTTTCTTTTAAATCATTGTGGGCTTCTTTTAACACACTAAAAGATCGAAGTCTGTGCAGAAAACTCACTGATTTGACTCCCATTAAACCCAAGAGTTGTTTAGCCGGAAGTATGAGGAGTGCAGTTTGGAGAAGGCCAAGAATGGTACCCATAGCCAGTGCAGTCGATGCGGAAGGAATATGGCGTTTCTCTCGTTTGACTTTTTTCTTGCTTGCATTGATATCGGTACCAGAAGTGTTGCATACATTTGCTTTATCATCTGATGAAAAAAAAGAAATAATATTTTTTTACCTCTAAACTGATAAACTAAGAATCACAAAAAAGTGGGTCTTTTAAGTATAATACCATCTTGTTGTGTTGATTCTTTAGTTTCGTTTACTGTGGCTAGACCATTCTCCATCTTCTCAAGTTCACAGGCTTTTTGCTTTTCTTTTGCAGTTTCTGTGTCTTTAACTGAAGCTTCAGCCATCCTTCTGACAGTGTCTTCCTCTGCAACAAAGGAAGTGGTAATGTTGACAAGAGGGAATATGGTCACCTTGTTGGCTTGATTGAGGATGGAAATGGCAACTCCCACCGCAGCAATCTCCACCGGACCTGCAACCACAAAATGAACAAATGTCTCCCACTTCGTGCCCGTTTGGTAAAAGTAATATTTTTTTTACTAGTCTTCATTTCCAGACTCATTTTCTGTGCAATATTAACTCATTTGACTGCTAGCTTAATTCCCTCATAGATACCTCAAATTTGAAGGAAAATAAAGGGGAGTGTACATAAAGCAACCATAAAATGTCACACAAAAGTTGGTTGAACAATGCAAAGAGCTGCATACCTAAATGACCAATAAATGCAGTGTCTATGAGAGAAGCAATGGGATCAGCTGCCAAAGCCATAGCTGCAGGTAGCGCAATACTAAATATTTCCTTGCCAAGATCATCCAACTTGAAAAGATGCCTGATATCATTTAAAGAAAATTCAAAAAAAAAAAAAATTAATGATAACACCTATGAAATGCAGAATCCAAGGCAGTGTTTGGTACACGTGTAATGATTTTTTTCGCAAATACCATTTTTCTGCTTTTCGTCTTTGGTAGGCCAGGGGATATACTTTCTAGGAAATTTGTTTTTCGTTTTTGGGAAGGAGAAATTTTTTTGTGCACCTTTGGAAAGTGCGTTTTGCATTATTTTTTAGGCATGCAATGCCAGCTTTTGGACAATTGCAGATACGTGCGGAGATTATTTTCGAAATATTTACCGAACACTAGAAAAAAGCTGTGAAATTCCAATTTTCTTTGGAAAAAGAAATCACTCAGTACCAAACGCTGCCTAGAAGAATGTTGATAGAACACAGTGGATTCAAGAATTACCTGATTCCACTGAAGAAAACCAAGAAGGGTGGGTTCCCTGCTTTCTTAGCCTGATCCATAACTCCATTGTTCTCAGCCATGACACTCAACAGAACCGGACCAAAATTTACGCGACGAAAAGGAGTCGAGATACACTTGGATATGTATCTATAATAAACTTGCAAAACCTTAGAGCATGATCCAATCTGCCTAGCTATAGCTACCTCATGTATATATTGAGAAAGATCAAAAAAAGGGTGGAAAAAAGTGCCTTAATCTCATTTATACTTTTGGCTCAACAGTCCCTGTGAGAAGAGAAAACATTGCTTCTTCTGCCTTCAACTTTTTTTGATTGCACTATTAGTGTTTTCAACTTTTAAGGCAAAGTTAAACTTTAGGTTGTTGATTCCACTAGTCCTAAGCTCCCATACACATAGCTTTCTTGCAAACTTCAAACTCTTTCTGGCCTTTTCTTTAGTACTCTGACGTGAGGCACTTTAGTTTCTTTTCTTTTGTTCCCATATAAGTTACCTCCCATCACTATTAGTATCTTAAAAAAGAGAAGGGATAGTCTTACAAACAAAAAATTGTGTACCACCGTGACACCGATTCAATTGGGTGCCACCTAGGGTGCTCTGATTGCAAAATTGATAGTTCTTACCCTCTAATTTCCTCTTAAATCCCACATTTGCCCATCTTTTGGTGACTTCGATTGGGCCCAATTGGCATCGGCAAGGTAGGGAGGCAGGGTGGGATTTGAGGGGGGGGGGGGGGCAAGGGGTGAGGGTTGGGGAATAAAAACCAACAATTTTGTAATTTGAAGCTCCACAAGTGTCCCAATTGAATTGTTGTCATGATCTTATACCAAATAATAGGTGTAAGATTACCCCTTCTTTAAAAAAATACAGTATGTTTATACGTACTCCTTATTTGAATCAAATTTATAGTTTGACTTTGTAGATTTTAAAAAATCTGAAAGGTATGTATTGTTTAGTAAAATTTATATATTTTAAAATTACATCTAAAGTCCTACTACGTACTCGTAAAAAATAAGACGTGACATGATTATATATTCTTTTATCAAATGAGTTTCGAAAATGGATACTAAAGTTTGACAATTTGAATAGTTAACAAATAATTTAAATTGGGATGAGAGGGAATACTTTAGATTCTTCCTACTAATTTTGCTACATGTAAGAGTTATACAAATTTTTAAAAATTGTATTGTATTGGTAATATTGAATTTGCAAAATACGAGTCGTTCTGTGTCATAAGGTAGTTTAGTAGATCTTTTGATGTATTTTCTAAATATGTAATTTTTATTTTTTTTAATTCTACATTATTTTTCATATGAAATGATTTGAAAATAATTTTAGTCAGACATTGTAAACTAAAACAAGTAATTTAAATTGGGACGGAGAGAGTACAAATTTAGAAAAAGTGAATTGTATTGTTCATATTGAATTTGCAAAATATGAGTCATTTTGAATCATAAAATATCATACCAAATATGGTAAGCAACAAAAAATGTGAGACATACCAAATATTGAACTGCAATTTATTTTGTTAGAAACAAAAACAACAAAAGTACACCCTCCTATGTGGTGCAAATAGCAATACCTGCTTTAAGATTATTCTTTTCAACTTATTTTTTTACTTATTACTTATTCTTATTGAAATCAGATAAGAAATTACTTTAAATATAACCACAATTCAATCAGATCAGAACTTAATACCATAAGTTGAAAAGAACAAGTCTTAATTGTTGTCGCCTACCTTAAAATTGCTTGTATGTACGCAGGTAACCACAACAAAGTCAACTCCACACTATTGCGAGGGATAGTCAAATTTCATATCATGTGATTGGCCTTGTTTGGAAAAAAAAATGTTTTTAGCTAATCTTAGCAATTTAGATAAAATTTTAATGATAAAGATTAATTTTAAAAATGCAAAAGTTAAATACTGTTGTGGATAGTTTTTTATTGCTAATTCTAACCTTTAAACCCCAATTGAATTATCTAATCAAAAGGAAAGCGTAGAGAAAATGATAGGGTAATACTCCATATATGTTTCCTTTACAAAAAGAGTAATAGATGTTTGACTAATTACAAATGGTGTTATTCGGATACACTAATTGCACTGGTTCTAATACTCCTTCCATTTCTTTTTAAATGATTATTATGACTTTCTTAATACATTAAAAAATACTCCGTAAATGAATACAGACAAAATATATATCTACATTCATTTATTTTCTAGTATATTAAGAAATTCATGATGATAGTTAGTTGTATTGTATAAACACAATGTTGTTATGTAATACGAGTACCATTTTGGTATAAGCGTTATTTGAAGGGGAAATGATATCAACACTCCACCTTTTGCTATCGACCCTCCAAGATATACTATTCATGTGAGAGACTAAATTGTGCATTTTGAAGTATCAATATCAAAAATTGGAGTGCGAATATCATTTTCCCATTTCAAGAATAACGATTAAGTCTAGAGTTGGCAAACAGATTTGTCAGATCGAATTCTCGTTCTGTACTCTTTGATACATGCTATTTTTGGGTTCGGTCGTTTTCAGGTTGAACTACTAAAATATTTTGCTGAAAATCTAATATCTTTTGTTTTGATATCAAATAAAAATATGTAAAGTCGAGCTAAAGTTATTATAAATAGAAATATGCCATTAAATGAAAGATATATCAAGTGTACAGAACACTCAATATGTATTGTATGTTTACACTTGATGTCTATTTAACAGCAAAATTTCTATTCAGAACAATATTTGCTTGGCTTTACATATATTTATTCGATATTTAATTAGTACGAAAATATTGAGTTTTTAACAAGCACATATATTTTTATATAAAAAAGAATACATAATAATATGTTATGTAATGTACCTTAATTAATTAACTAGATAGAGTAAAAGTGTGGCGTGCATGAAGCATGTGCAGGCTGTTAGCTTCTTCAACTCCTTGGTGCAACAAACTCAATTGGGCTCTCACACCTCACGCATGTGTTTTTTCAATTGAATGTATTTTTGAAACCTCTCGCCATTCGTCCCTTTTATACGCATTTCCTCACACAAACCGTACAATGGGTTTCATTCTTTATTCAACAAATCAATTATGTTCCTCCCCAATTTTTAAAGAAATAAATAAATCATACCCCTCCCTCCCTTCCCATCAAATAAATTATAGGGACCATGCTACACTTCTACCAAAAATTGTACCCCGGCCCATTTGTACATCGTAGTTATATACAAACATTTTGATGATTTACACCGACACAAGTGTTGGTGCGTTAACAAAAATTTACATGGACACAAAGTGTTGCGTTAACAAAAATTAGTTTTACACCAACACAAAATGTCGGTTCAAACCTGCGATGTACAAATGTGGTACAAAAGTTTGGGGTACAAATAGCTTTATCCTATAATGCCTCCATATACGCTCGATCTATCTCTCAGGGTATTCGTCCGATTTGATTTTTTTCTTAATTAAAAATGACGAATATACAATACAATTTTTTGCAAGTTAAATGCAATAAAAGCATTTTTGTACTAATAAACAATACAATTTTATTTAATTATTGATTAAAGTTTATTTAGTTTAAATCGAAAAAGTCAAATTGAGCGAATATATGCTCCGTAATTATTATGCCATAACTCCCTACTTTTGGAAATTTCAACTAGTATTAGAGTCAATTTGGTTAGGGGATGAGGGGGGAATATTTTCACATAAATTATTTTCGAGAGAAAAATGGTTTGACATCATATTTTCCATTGTTTGGTACGAAGAATTCCCCCCACCCACCCCCCCCCCCAAAAAAAAACATTTTCCGTGAATATTTAAAAATTGATATCTAAAAAAAGATTTTAAAGACAATTTTTTTTTAAAAAAAGAAGCATGGGGGCGCGGGTGGCGTGGTGTGGTGAGGTGGGGGGAGGGGTGTTGGCGCATGGGGCGGGTGGTGTGGGCTGGCGAGTGCTAGGTGTTGGCATGGGAGCGGGGCGGGGGTGGACGTGGAGTGTGAAGCTAGGAGGAGGGTTGGGGCGGGGGGCATGGCGGTGGACGAGGGCAAGCGGATTGATAGAGTGAATATGAAGTTTTCCTTCAAAAGCTAGCAAACATTTATCTTTCTCCCTGAGAAAATGTTTTTTCTTAAAAATATTTCTTTTACCAATTTTATTACGGAGTATCAAATAAAAGGAATTTAGAATTAAATTTTTTGAAAAATATTTTCCTCCAATCAAATGGACCCTCAGGAGATAAAAGAAAAATGTAAATAAAAATATTTTATTAAGAGCATATCCAACCTTGCTCAAAAATATAGTAGAAATTTTAGCAACTTATTTTTGTTTTTTTCCAATCCAAGGGAAGAGGTAATTTATAGAAAATTTGTGATTTTAACCAATACACTTGCTATATATAGCAACTTTACTTATTTTTGTTTGAATGTTATTGACTCTATTACAATAAATGTAGTATTTGTTCATACATTTTTCAATATAATGACATACAAAGAGCCAACTTCTCTTATTATTATAGACATTTCCATTCATGGTTGGAAGGATATCTAAATAATGAATTGCATGCTAAAGTACTATTTACTTGCAAAAATAACATTCAACAACTCTTTTTTTAAAATCTCATTGGAGATGCTCTAAGGAAGTTGTAAAATGTTTTAGAACAAATAAAGTATAAACGAATTTAATATTCACTATTCATAAGATGAGTTGTTGGACAAAATATTACGAGTATGTAGTCTTCAAACTTGTTATTGTCTAAGATATTTGGTGTAGTTTTAAAATATATACTCGCTTCGTTTCAAAAGCTAATAATTTAACTTATCCGTTTAGTAACTTTCATGTAGTTTAAGAAAAACAATTGAAAAAATTTTTATGATTAAAATTTATTCAGATGAGAATTCAATATTCACGATTCACACGATCAAATCTTGACATTTTCTTTACTTTTTTTTATTAGTCATTTGATAAAATATTATAGCTAGGCTTCACACTTCTTATTTTATAAAAAAATTTGGTGTAGCATATCATTAATATATATAATCACTTTGTCTCAAAAGAAAATAATTTTATCCGTTTAACTTTCACGCAATTTTTATTCAAAAAACTATATGATTAGAATTTATTTAGAGAAAAATTGTGTGAGCCATTTATTCATTACTAAAAATAGTAAGAAGAGAGTGTCTTTAAAGATGTTAGAAAAAGAAAATGAGTAAAATTTTTCTGGGAGGGTGAGAGTAAAAATTATTTTAAAATTTAACATCATATTAAAAAAATGATTAAATATAATTTTAATCAAGCATAGTACTCACTCCGTCGTATAATTGATTTAACCATAATACAATTTTTACTTATATTGATTTAAAAATAATTCTAGTGGAGCTAGTAATCCCGAACATAATTTTATTGGGATGGAGTAGAGAAGAGCAATGCAATGCGGGTAGTAACTAGTACTCCCTAAGACTGATGTGTGGTTTTGATTGATTTTATTGTGTACACTTAGCTCCCACTTTATGCACTCAAATGAAACTAAATTAAGGACCTATTCGTTTACTTTCGTTAAAGTCTTTTTTTTTTTTTGGAAGTTTTCGTTAAAGTCTTTGTAGTTAAGAAATTTGAATTTTGGATGTCCAACGAAATTCTTGATGATGTGATCATGTGATGTAATAATAAGGATTAAGGAAATTTATTTTCTTGAGAACAGTTTCTATATATTACTTTTTTTTAATTTGTTAGTTTGTTCTAGAGAACAGGTTCTATTAATTTTTTTATGAAAGAACTCAATTTGACAATTTGCCTCTTTTTAGCACAACTTAATCTAAACAATTAATTAATAGCTATTATGGAGTAATTGTTATTAATAATTGTTCCCCCACAAAAAAATATTGGTGATTTTAGTGTCATCGGCTATTTTGTGTGATTCATATACCTAGATCAGGCAAGAATTTCAATTAATAGACATTGTCAAACGAGTTAGGAGGCGCAGAGTGCGCACTCGTTCAACGATATTACAAATTCATAGGTCTAAGGGGCTGCAGCCCCTGGCTGGGGTCGAGATGTCGGGACACCTTGGAAATTTTTTATTTTGGACATTATTTCTTTATGAATTTTTCATGAACGAAGTCCAAAATGTTAAAAGAAATGGACGTGTGGATAAACGCCAAATTAACCCTTAAACCGCAAGAATCCTTTCGCGCGAAGGTTTGTCTCCTTAAGCAAATTTTCACATTTTTTAGACTTTATATCCTCGCACGAACATTCGTTTCTTACGCAGACGTTCATGTCCGACCATCAATTTTCGACTCTATAAATAGAGTCTCGTAGGTATGGTTGAGGCATTCGATTTTCAGTGCTTGTTCTTGATTAGCATCTTATTCAATTGAAGTATTTTGCATACCTCGAAATAACTTTGATCTGAAAGTGTTCTACGCGATTCATTATACTCTATTGAATAATTCTTCTCATTCTTTTTACTTCAATAGCACTCATAATATCAAGTTTGGCACGGATGGAGTTTACTTCACAAGGACATGTAAAATACATAAAAAATAATATCGAATAATAATATCATAAATATAATTATTTATGATGAACAAATGACGTTTACGTATGTAACACCCCAAAAATAGGCATATCAAAATTAATAAATAAATTAATTAATTATTGAGAAAGACCTAAAAATAAGTGATATATAAAGTTTGTTAATAAATAATGAAAATTTTATCGTTGTGTAGAATTTGACTGACTGGTCACAGCGGTACAATCAGAATTTAATTTGAAAAAAGTTAGACCAAAAGGTGTACCTCGACTTGGATTAGTATTAGTCCCAATCGGCCACAAGCGTGTAAATCTCCCAGAAGCCACACTTCCGTCGATTGAAGATCGGCTAATTGGAATCCTGACTTAGCTGGTGTCTTCTTCCTCCTCTCCTTCACTATATAAGAGACACTCACCTTTCTCATTTCTCACCATTCTCCTTCTTTTTCTTGCTGTGAGTTCCTTAGAGTGTGAGGAGTGTTGTGGTTCTGCCCAAAGGTTGTGAGGTAGCCGGAGCTAGCCACAATATTCGTCGAAAGTTTCGCCAAAATTTTCCCAAAACCTTCGTTTAAACCAGAGGTAAGACCTTGGGTATATCTAGTGATTAAAATGTTCGTATAGATCGTTTCTACGATCATAAATGATCATTTGGTTAAGTTTTGTGTTTGACATGCTTGAAGAACTAAGATTCATAAACCTTGGAATTGTTGTTAAAACTACAAACTAATGATACCAAAATGATCTATGAACTTTGGAGAACATTTATATATAGCTTAATTGAAGTTTGATGATTAAAAAAGAAGTTTTTGAAAAATTGCGCGAGGTTGAAGATGACACTGTTTAAAACTACGCGCAAAACAGTAACGAGCTACCGTCTGGATGGTACGTAGGTACTGCCGACACGATAGGTCGTACCGTGAAAACAATAGACCAGCTACCATCTCCAACATGATTTACCCCTTCCTTTAGCGCTACCGGATGCCAGACGGTACCAAGGTACTATTTATCGGTATCGAGGTACCATAACGGGTACCGTCTAGATCGAAAACTTTTCCAGAATTTTGATTTTCGAACTGTAAAATCCTATTTTTAAACAATGTTCAATAAGAAAATGATTTCTGGAAATAAACATGATATTTTGACAAATTCAAGAACCTTATGTGATGCATGACAGTAAGCTAGGGTGTTAACACTCGACGCTAGGCCGCTATTTGTTACTCCGTACAATGATTATTATTGATTGTTGATTAAGATGATTAAATTATGATCAATCTCCTCAATAAATATGAGTATATTGATGATTATAGAAATGATATACATTATTAAGGGTATCTAGAAAAACTCTAAGATATACCTATGTGACCAATTTAGTAGTCAGGGGTTAAAACTATGTACGGGAACCACAAACCACATTTAGTATTTACTCATTTGTGGATATCACCCACCCGATTGGAGCGTGATCCATAAGACTCGTAGAATGGATCATTGATTCTA